GTTACTCTGTTGCTCAGGGCAGTTTTCCACCAGTTATCCTGTTTGGGAGAAAACAGTAAGAAACACAGAACATGAGTTGGACAGGGGATCTCATTTACTTTTATTAATACTACACCGATATTTATTAGTGGCATTAAAATACTTCATAACTTCGGAAAAAATGTGGACAACATGTTACCCCTACCAGTCTGTCTTGGATTAGATTAAGTCTGAGCTGCTCTCACTGAGCCAGGTTCTGTTGGAGGTTTCTTCCTGTTAAAGGAAAGCTCTCCTCTGAATTTATGCTGCACGCATGCTGGGTATGATGGATGTCTGACGTGTTCAAAACTTGACTAACTAGCTATGTGTTCTTTTCTGATAGAAAAAGTAAGATGGTGCAATCGGTTGGTTTTTCTCAGATAGAAAACGTTTTAGCTATTGAAATAACAAAACTTAATTTGAATCTCTTGTGTGCCGTTGGTTTAAAAACTATCACATAGATACATATAAACAAGATCCAAGAGAGCTTGTTCATATGCATCTATTTTTGGATGTGAATTGGATTTTTGAATTCGTTTGACTTGTTAGTTGTTGCCGTACAAACAAACTGAATTAAATAAAAGTGATATTGCTTTGATGGACAGTCGAACATGACGTTACCACAGTGGGTAAATAGATAAAGTGCAGGGGGGAAAAAACACAACGTTCCTGTCTATCTGACTTCCATGATGAGGTTCCTTCCACCGTTTCTCTTCTACCCGGTGATATTTTCAAACAAGGTCAGGGAAGTCTGCCTCTCTTTGCTGCGCAGCCTTCTCTGCTGTCTGTATGGTTGAATATATGGCCGACTGTTGATTTGTTTTCCTTCACTGACCTCAAAATGCTGCATCAAGAAGAACACGTAGTCACCATTCATCAGACCCTGACGCTCAGCCTCCAGCAGCAGAGCCATGGAGTCCTCTCTGCTTGTTAGCACCACAATAACTAGAGAACAGATTTTGAAAAGTTTTATGGTAGAGGAACAACAACAAATGTAGAGCTATATTTAAAAGACACACAAAGAAATAAGGGTAGAATGAAAATGTAATCGACATGATGGTCAGAAGTTTATATCCACTCATTACTGGTGAGATTATTTTAGGTCCATTTGAACTCGTCATCTTTCCATGGTGGATTAATTATCCAACATTTGTCCCAGGTGTTCGTGTCAATGAATGTAGGAGCACAAATTTGAATATTTTCTCAGTTTTTTTTTTTTTTTTTTTTTTTACTGTAATACTGTAGCAATTATTCTCATGGTGGTACAGTTGGCAGCACTGTGGTCTTGCAGCAAGAAGGACCTGGGTTTGAATCCCGGCCTGGGAGTTTGCATGTTCTCTAAATGCATGTGTGGACTTTCTTCAGGTACTTTGGTTTCCTCCCACAGTCCAAAAACATAATTAATAGGTTGATTAAATAGCCTTTAGGGAAAAGTGTGTGTATGCATGGTTGTATGCCCCGCATGTCAGTTCAAGTTTGCGAAAATCCACACGTGATTACGGCTGTGCATGTTTCGGTGAACACCTCCCCTTACCTCTGGCGACTGTCGAGATATACTTGATGTTCTGATAAAGGAGATCAGGATCACTGGTGTCAAACTTCAGCTCAGCAGTCAATTTGAAATGCGATCTGAGGGGATTCTCCACCGTTTTCCACAAAGCATCCACTTTGTCCCAGGTGTTCGTCTTCAACCCCCCTCCAATCATCGCCACGTGACTCCACCCGAAGAACTCCAGGGTCTTCACCAGAACCTCTGAGCTCCGCTTAAGAGGAGGCATGATTTTTATATACGAGTCATACATCTCGCCGTCCTCCAGTTTGGAAGACTGGCCCACGTAGCCAAACATGGGGATGTGCCATGTTGACGCGATGAGACCGGTGACCTGAAACGTTCAAAGTTTAATTAATTCATCGCAGCAGGTCGAGAAATCCTCCAATTAATATGCAATTGTGATGAATTATTTCCTGATGTTGTGCTAAATCCTTCCTTAGGACGAAGGATATCAGTCAAAATCAAGATTTTATTCAATTAATTCTTACATGTACTCAGACCTTTTTTTGAAGTCCAGTACTAATGTTGTAACATTTGATGTATAACCTGACTGAGTAAACAGAGAAGCGATGTTAATTTCTTTTTAATCCGCAATTACAGTGGGTTATACAGCATTGCTGAAAGATGATTTGCATTTTTCAATAAATGTTTCTTAATATTTCATGTACAAAGCTGATGTGAACTTAACAGGAAAAAGTAATTCAATTCAATTTATCAATTAAGGATATGTTTAATATATTGATTTTGTTTATTGTTTGAGGAAAATGCAATAAATAATTGGCGTTTTAGAGTATTATTATACACACTTTACATTTAAATATTCTGTATTTATTGATGTAAATCACATCTTTAGATCTAGTGAATTTTACATCCATTTGAATTTATAAAATATAAATAATAAGACATCATTATCATCTCTGTGCAATTTCCTTAACCCAATAAACACATTAGTATGAAAAAATATATTTTTAGAAACATCTACTGGGGTTTGATTTTATAGGTAACATTAGGGGAAAAAATAAGGTCACACCTGCAGAATGACCCACATATAGTTTGTTTTTCTTCCCATCTAACTTAACAGAGAATGCGTGAAAAAAAATATTAAAGAAAATATCTAAAAATAAGCTGAAGTCAATAAACAGAAGCTTTGTTTTTAGATTAAGTCAATGCCTCAGAATGCAAAACATGTTTCTGAGACCTAAACATGTTTAAACCACTGAAACACATTTCATCCACTTTTACAGAAAACATCTCACGCTACAAACCTAAAACAAATTCATTCCTTGTAAACCCACAAAGAAAATGGCCGCAAATATGATCCGAACCGTACCTCTGCCTCCTCGGGACATGCCGGACCAAACAGAGCCGTCACGTTTTCCCTCCACACTTGGTGGATGAATCCTCCCAGAGACTCTTTAGGATTGCAGTCGGTGTCCTTGTACACAAAATCCAGACTGTAGTTGCCCAGGAAGGAGGGGTTGTTGTTCACCTTCTCCACGGCTATCTGTATGGCCGAGCCCAGCCGGCGAGCACTGAAGGGGAAGGACACGTTCCAGGGAGCCTGGAAGGCAATGATCAGCTTGTGATTTGGGGTACCATTGCTGCTGCTGCTGTTATGGATGATCATGGCGGCAGCGGTTGTAAAAAGTGTGAGGTGGAGCAACAATATGTGGCTCATGCTGGAGAAAACGAGTACCTGCTCTCATCCTGTTAGTTTCTGGACGAACAAGGCTTAAATACTCAACTACCTTGATGATGCTGGACATTTGGGTAGGGAGGAGAAAATGCAAATAGGTGGAGGAGAGTAGGAGGTACAGAACTCAGGACAGTACGTTTTTTGTTGAGAAAAGGTCTTGCACTGATTGGTCAGAGAGAGACGTTGCTGTAGAAAGGTGTGATGGATAAAATGCTGAGATGGAAATGCGTGAAAATCTGAAAGGAGCAATGAGAAGATGGATGGAATACAGGCGCCTCTCAGTAGATTAGAATATAATTTTAAATTAATTCATTTCAGTAAGTCCATCTAAAATGTGGATATTTTAACCTTTGACCTTTGATTTGAAGGGATGGTCCAGTATTCCTTGCAGAATAGTGTATTAATGGAAAGTCAAGTGGAAGGATAAAGTGCATTTCTAAAAAAAAGGTACAAAAGCAGCAGTTATAACCCTTGGTCGTTTCTTCTTTATTTATTGTACATAATTTTATGATTTTCTGTATTTTAGGTTTTCAGTTGCTGTAAGCCATAATTACGACAATATACCAAATTAGACATGAAATACGTCATTCTGTGTGCAAAGAATCTAGGTGATGTCTGAGTTTCACTTTTTAAACAAACTTTCCTGAGATTATTTCACTTTTCAAAAACATCCTATTCTACTGAGCCACACATTTGCATTGAAAGGACTGATATTTGAAAAAAAAAAAAAAAAAACAAGAAAAGAAATGTGATAAAGACAGGAACTCTTGAGATAAATAGAACCAGGAGGGGCAGAAGGGTAACGTTGGATGTTAGTGTGACTCAAAAAAGTCCTGTTCTTCCCCATGTTTGGCAAGAGCAATTAGTCTAACGTTTCTGTTTCTGGAGTACCGAGGGAAAAATCCATGCATGCAGTGGGAGATCAGGGAAATTCCACATAAAATCTGTTTGGGAATCCAGAAACAGCTGCTTGTAATGTATAATGTTAATAGTCTTTGTTCTACACAGGAAACATTACTTATATGAGTCAGGAAACAGAGATGTCCTTAGAAGTATTGTTTTTGCACAGTTTCTACTAAACAACTAACATCCCTATAAACTTAGGCAAATTGTCTGTTATGTTTTAAACAAAGAAGGGCTACATAGTGGAAATAATCATCCCTGCATCCCCAAAGTAAGAGTGGTGTTTCTTTAATGGAAACCTTTCGTCTTTCATTATGCAAATAGAGTTTGAAACCATGTTTTTTTCCTTTGAATGTCTTTCAAAATTGAATGCAGTTAATATAATTTTTGAGAAGATTATTTTCAGCCTTTGCACTGATCGTCCCATTAATACCAATTATTCTGCCTCATTCCCCACATGCCAAATCAGTTTTTATTACTCCTCTTCAAATATCACTGAAAGACATTTAAAGGAGTTAATGTTCAGATTATGGCTTAACAACCGGAGGTCACTCCAAAGGTGCTGGGATTTTATCTTTCGCTTTCCCTGACTCTCATAAATCAAATCGGAGAGGCCATGATTGTCTTAAAGGACAAACTTCAACTCCAAGCTAAAGGATACACAAAAATGAATAAAAACTACAAGGGACATATTTATGAAGGACTGTGAACAGATTTAAAAAAAAAAAAAAAACACTCAATAAGCAAACAAGTTGAGAGTTGTTGCAGGTCTCCTGGGTGTGTTATCTTCAGAGAGCAGGGGTGGCAGGTTGAGCCTTGACCGGTGCTGAGGAGCGTCACACCTGTGTGCAGTTTGAGGCGCTAATGACTTCAGGCTGTACATCTGTGGTGTTGCTGTCTTCAGCCGTTTGTTCCTCAGGAGATCCCTGCTCAGCCTGATCCCAACCTGCTGCTGCTGCTGCTAATACTTATTCCACCAGGTAATGTCCCTTAATCAAGATTCTCGTGTCATCTGACTCTCAAGAGAAACCAACTTTAAAAAACACATGCACAGAGGACCAGCACTGTGCACCTGCTTTGCTAAATTAGTACATAGGTCGGATGTTTATTAATTTATCCCCTGGCTTTTTTTTGCTGTTATAATATTGAGCTTTAGTACTGACTAATTTGAACTGGTTCAGATTATTATTATTTTTTTTTACCCTCATGTTTGTTCTGTGGCTTCAGTCCAGTAAATTTTGGATGGTATTTTTTTTAACTTTAATTCATGGGTCTCCAGCTACAGTCTCTGCTCCAACACGGCTTACTCAAAGGTGCAACTACCTCATCTGCATGTGGGTAATGACCCATCATTTGATTCAGATGTGTTGAACCAGGGACGAAGCCAAAAGGTGCAGGATACCGGCCCTTGAGGCTTGACTTTGGACTCTGCCGCTCTAGTCTAATTGCAGATGTGCTCTTTCACCTTTCAGATAACTGTCTGATATATGCAGACGATGGTTTGCTTAAGTGAGCTCGAACATTAATAGGAATCATTATGAAGCTGTGCATCTCAGTAAATGTGGTTGTGAATCATAAATGACATGGATTTGTTCCTAAATATTTGTGGGGGTTTTTTGTCTGTGTATTTTAAATATTTGTCCTTTGAACATGCTAACTTGCAGATAAGCACACTGACCTTTCATCAGGTGCAACATCTTGATATATATATATATTTTTCCCCTCTCTGTCATTGCCACTGATAACGCATTTTATCTTTCTGGATTAAAATCAGAAGAGTTGGGTGGCAAGAACCCTCTGAAGTATCTTAATCTATTGCACAACTTTAATACTGTGGCCTACAAACCAAGAATATGTCGGTGGCTGTGTCGTCTTTTATCAGTGGAAGTAATATGCTGGCCAAAGTTCAAAGATCCTAAGTTGGTCTGTGTACTGTTTTATCAGCTCTTGTCTTTAATGTGTTTCCTTCCTAGAGCAGAGGAACAGGATCTGTACACTCGCCACACACCTGAGACGGCTAGCAGGAGGTAAGCATTACATCTAAGATTATGTCTGAGCTCATTATGAAGGCTTTTGCATTTATCGGACTATCTTTTTTGTTTTGTTTTCTTTGTCTAATTTGTTGTCGAGTATAAAAATGACTGTCTAGGGCACCGTCACTCTGATCTCTTGGAACACAAGAAAATTGTCAAGTTTGGACTTTAAGACTTTAGAATAAAATTAATTGCCGTTTTCACTGATAGAGTATAGTATAAACACATTGGGATCTTTGTGTTTCTCCAACTCAGGAACATTAAAGAGGGAATAACTTTGATCAAATGGACACAAAACAACTGTCAGAAACTGTCACCAAATGTGCAAAGTAAAAGCCTCATCAAACAATTGACAAATGGTGTGTTGGTGCAAATTTACAAGAAAAAAGAAGTAAAGCAAGTTTCTCCTTTCACTGCCTTGCTTTCCTCATTAGAAATGCATGCAAACCGTGCCTAGTCAAACTATCTTTAATGCACTCTAATGTGCAGTGCAGCTTACCTATGAGGGTTTACGAGAAACTCTTGCACGATTTATGCAACTTTGACCTGGAGTTATTGAAGAAACAGTCTTTGGTGGATGGTGGGTTCAAAAAGTATATACGCCCCTGTTAAATTCGATACTTTCCCTCGTATAGTGTGACATGGAGCCTTAAACATTCTGCTGAATAGTTGGAATTCAAGAAAAATCTTGGGGTAATTTCTGTTAACAGGGCTGTTTTTTTTTGTTGTTGTTTTTTTTGTTGTTTTTTTTCCCCTTAATTCTTTCAATCACTTCTTGTGAGATGGATTTTTACAGTGAAATAAAATTCTTTTGCTAGGTTCTTTATATCATGGTACAGTGTAGGTGGCTGTGAATTGGGGACTAGGTATGTGTATGGGCAAGCATGCATCCAAATTCAGTACAGTGGAAGAATATTAGTGTTTTGCAATTAAGAGCTAAATCTGACAGCAAATCATGTGTGCTCGCCTGAAGAGGTCTGTGGACAACAGATGATTTGAAGAACTTTGGCGAGGCACAATAGAGAAATTGAGATTTGGCCTGCAGAAAGATTGAAACATTAAAGTAATTAAGGGGGAGAGGGATTATATCTATGCCACCAGGTAGCTATCCATTTTTCAGAAATGGTGTGTGGGATTAAAAAGGGCTTTGCATCAAGAAAACCTGGCAGTGTACTTGCCCTGTTTAAATTTTGTGTTGCCAGGTTAAATATGTTGTTTCTGATCACACATCCAAGTCTTGACATTTTTGATAAACTCACCATTTGTTCTAATTTCCCGTCCCAGTTGACCCAGCATCATGGACGTCATCTTCCAGTTGCTGTTCTCTCCTCTTCCGACCCCAGTGGTCATCTCCCTGATCGTGGTCGGCGTTGCAACCCTGTTTTACCTCAACGCCCGGCCCAGTCCGGTCCGCAGCCCAGCCGACCTCAACCGCCAGACTCTAGGGGTCAAGGTGAGATCTGCAGAAAGTTTTTGCTCAAGTTTTATAAATTCATAGTCTGAGGAGGCATGGTAATGACCTGACACTTCCCTTAGGAACCTGTAAACTTTTTTTTTTTCCCCTCCCCTTCTTTTGAGCACCAACTTTTTTTTTTTTTTTTTTTTTTCAGGATGGTGCAAGAAAAACGGCCATGTTGGAGGACAACAACAACCTGATGTCATATCGCTACAATGATGCAAAAACCCTGTATGAGGTCTTTCAAAGGGGCATTAAGGTTTCAGGTATTTAAATTGTTCAAAACCGTGTAAAATCAGCTTAGATTTTGTATCATAAGCCAAAAAACAAGTTTTAAAATGAGTACATTTGTTTAAAAATCAGAATGAAGTTTCAAGCTAGTTTAAACTGGAACTAATAAAGACAAACCAAATGATTCCTTTTTTGTCATATGATCTGGCAAAGAAAAAAAAAAGCTGCTGTATAGTTAAAGTTCAGTCAAACCACTGGTGCAAGACATAACATCAGAACCATTTTATCTTCCAGGTAACGGACCGTGTTTGGGCTACAGAAAGCCTGGGAAGCCTTACCAGTGGCTGAAGTACAAACAGGTACAGTACAGAGTGGCAATGATTTGGAAACATTATGGTTAAATGGTGCAGGTAATGTGTGAAATCACTATTCTGGACCTTTCTGGGTAAAAAAGTTAAAAAAAAAAAGCATCTGATCCCATCAGCACTGTAGCAGAAGTGTAGAGATGAGGCCAATGACGCCGAGGAAAGAAAATGTGTTGGATGAACTTTTTCTTAAAAGGTTATTTTAAGGAGAGATGTTTAACTTTTCATACAATAGTTGTATTTTTAAATTTAAAGTAGAACTTTGTTTCAGGCTGCCTAAACCTAACCTCGGTTTATTTGTCATACTCTTCCTAGAGTTTTTAAAAGTACTTTTTTTTTATATGCTGTTTTCCTCCGAGTCTTTAAGTATTTGTAAAATTTATAGTGATGTTTTCTCTTCAATCTGACTTCCCCTCTTCTCTGAAGGTGTCTGACAGGGCACAGTATCTGGGGTCAGGACTCCTTCACAAAGGTTTGAAGCCCAATTCTGATACATTCATTGGTATCTTTGCTCAGAACAGACCTGAGGTAAATGGAGGCTTAAGAGATTTTTTTTTTTTTTTGTATGAAAATCTATTAACTTCTGTCTCTTCATTAAATCAACTCTCAGTGGATTATCGGTGAGATGGCGTGTTACACGTACTCCATGGTAGTGGTCCCCCTGTACGACACTCTGGGTCCTGAGGCTCTCGTCTTCATTATCAACCAAGGTAATTGGAGCTTTACTTTGCTCTCTAATGCTGCTAATTGCAGAAACAACAAGACTTCCAGTAACTGTGTTCCCATAGGAGTCTGTCAAGTAATCTCATCTTCTTCTTTTCAATGAGTTTGTGTAAATTTGCTGATGGAAAGTTTGATTATAAGGGCAAATTGAATATATTCTGCCTTCAAGTTTTTTTTTTTTTTTTTAAAAAGCAGATCCTATTTCTAACAAAAACACATATACATGAATATTTTTTTTTATTTCCTATAAGCTGGGATCTCTATGGTGCTCTGTGACAACCAGAAGAAAGCAGAAGTGCTGCTTCTGAACCACGAAAAAGGCCAAACTCCCGTTCTCAAAACTGTTGCGCTCATGGACTCGTTCAGCCCCGAGTTGATCGAGCGAGGAAAGAAGTGTGGTGTGGACATCGTCTCCATGGAGGACTTGGAGGTAATGATGTACTCTAAACACCGAACCAAGCAAAATGTAAACGTTAAAAAAAAAATCAGTAAGTAAAGACGTTTTGTTTTCTGGCAACTCCAGGCACTGGGAAAAAATAACCTTCAAAAGCCAGTAGTAAGTTATGAATGCTTCTAGATTTTTTTTTTTTTTTTTTTTTATAACCAGGTTCAGAGTGGAGCCACGTCTCCCTTTCAGAAATGGCTGCTGAACTTTGCAGCAGAGAGGAAGTACGCTGAGGTGAAGGATGGCATCGTCAGGAAAAACAGCATATGGGACAAACTCATTTTCCACAAAGTCCAGGTACTTCATTTTTACTTATTTGTAACCTTTTGTAGTTCTGATGTAATAAAGAACATTTTCTGCAAGAAGTTAAGGTTATTGGGTCTGACACTTTACTTGGAAATGGGAGTAACACTTTTTTTTTTAACTGTATATTTGCTTAAAACAACCAAATCTAGGTTTACAAGAGTCTGCGCTGGGATCTCACCCAGTGGAACTTGCTTGGAAAACTATTAAAGGAGGGTGTGCTCCATTCATTCCTGGAACAGTTTTTTTTTTTTTTTTTTTTTTTTTGTCAATCATTTTATCCAAAACTTTTCTCTACTAGAGATTTTTAAAGAGGCATAAAATCATTTATTCAATCTGAGCTGGATTATTGTAAATCTTTTTGTTTTTTTTTTTTGTTTTTTTTTGTTATTGACCAAACTTGTTACTTGATGGCTCCAGTTAGTTTAAAAACTTGTGACTGCTACATTTCTCCATTGTTGAGCTTTTTCACAAGTTGTATATTGCTATAACTTTACCATTAAATAATTGGGCACTCTAGAGCTACGCCTGGTGTACCTGTCAGTTTTCCTGCAACTTTCTGTACTCTAGAAAAGTTCCCAGTGATCTTTTTAGATGTTAAACTGTCAATCCTGAGATGTAATTGGTTATTCACTTCATATATTTTTTTTCCTATCGTTTTAATTATTTCATACTTTTATGTAAGGAGATTTGCTCAGTAGCAGTTTTTTGTTTTGTAATGTGCTTTTAAAGGTACATTTTATGGTGGTTCTAAATGTTCTCATCCCTAACTCAGGAGTCTCTGGGGGGCCGTGTGAGGATGATGGTGACTGGCGCTGCACCCATATCACCATCTGTTCTCAACTTCCTCAGGGCTGCCCTAGGCTGCCAGGTAATAAACCTTTAATCCTCTGTAAACAGAATCTTGATTAGATTTAGGTTTTTCCTGCAAACATAAATGCCTCATTCTCTGTTTAAATGAGACTGCTTCTTTTTTTTTTTTTGACTACTCTTAAACATTCTGTTTTTTGTTGGTCCTCTCTAAGGAACCACACTTTTTCGTGACCAATAACCACAAAGTTTTTCACTACAAGTGTAAGAACTGAGATTTGCAACAAATCAGTCTTATTTGTTTGCTCTCGTGGCATGTCTACAATACACATGCAAGTTTCTTTTACATTTGAATTTACTGTCAACATGCTGCGTTCGTTTAACTATAGAAGCATAAATGAACAATGTTACAGAAAATCTAACATTTTACATCAAAATATGCCACGTTTCACAGTTGTTGGCTCCTCTGTAGATTCACTTTAAAACGTTTGTAAATTAATCCTGAGGGTTTGAAGTTTTTTAAATCTCAAAGGAGCTTGACGTAAATGGACACGGATGCAGTAATGTTGGTGTTTAGGAGGAACAATTGCACAACACTGATGCTGGTTCCTGTTGAGATGTTTGTGGTGCTCTCTGGTTCTCGCAGATCTTTGAAGGATACGGTCAGACAGAGTGTGCAGCTGCCTGCACGTTCACCTTACCAGGAGATGCCACTGCTGGTACGTAGCTAAGCAAACTGTAACGGCAGCGAAACCTCTTTGAGTTTACGACAGATTTGTTTAAACATGAAACGTTTTACTTGTAAAGTTAACAAATGCTACACATTTGATCAGGGGAGAAATGCCAAGTGGGATCCAAAAGGAAAAAAAAAACAAGCCTAATCACAATTTATTTATTCATTAACTTCAGGTCATGTTGGCGTGCCTCTGCCTTGCAATTTTGTGAAGTTGGTTGATGTGGAAGAGATGAACTACTTTGCTTCAAATGGTGAAGGAGAGGTTGGTTAATCTGAAATCTGTTTATATCTGGGGATATTAAAGTCTTGCACCAGAAGGAGTCTGAATTAAATCAGTTCAGAGAGATTCTTGTCGGAGTCGGGAACAGTTCTTTGGACCCAAAAATGAAGGTTGTATCTCTCTTTCACATAAGACTAATGGAAAATGAATATTACTCAAAGGCTTATGTTTTAGTGATGGTGACTGTCATAAATTTAAAATGTAAAAACGCAGCAAATTAAACATTACAGCATTTTGTTTGTCTTGTGATTTTTACTTTTTTTTTTTATATATATAGGTTTGCATTAAGGGCACAAATGTATTTAAGGGCTACTTGAAAGACCCAGAAAAGACTGCAGAGGCCTTGGACAAGGATGGCTGGCTTCACACTGGCGATATTGGTAAATGGCTTCCGGTAAGATGCACTTTCTTTTCACTTGTGTTGTGGGGGGGAAAAGGATATAATTGGCTTAACGTTGCCCACAAACTGAATGCAGAGTTCCAAATACTGTCCTCTTAAAAATCACAAACTTTTGTATATTCTAGTGAAATTTTATGCGATTAGACAAACGAAGTGAAGCATAATCGTACAGAAGTAAAATTATGCACGAGCATGGCTGTTTTGGCCTGGCTCAAAGGGCACGACAAAGAGTTCCAAAAAAGTAGCCCCTTGTTATATTTGTAAAATTGTCACCGGGTTATGAAGTTCTCATAAATAGTTTTGCCTTGTGGGTTTTGCGACAGAGTGGAGTCTTGAAGATTATTGACCGTAAAAAGAACATCTTCAAGCTGGCTCAGGGAGAATACATCGCCCCGGAGAAGATCGAGAACGTGTATGTCCGCTGCGGCCCTGTGGCCCAAGTGTTTGTGCATGGAGACAGTCTGCAGGTAACTTGATATTTTTCTTTTTTCTCTCTCTGTACCTTTCCAGCTGCTTAATCTTAACAATTAATGTCTTTGTTTCTTTCTATTTTTTTTTTTCCCTATCCGTGTAGTCGAGTCTGGTTGCCATTGTGGTACCTGATGCTGATGTCCTGCCAGGTTTTGCAAAAAGTCTTGGCATCCAAGGCTCCATTGAAGAACTCTGCAAGAGCACAGTAGGTTTCCTGTAATGTGTAAGTTTATTCTCTCCAGTGTTTTAGACAAATGTCCAAAGTCAAGAATCTGCAGGAAATGTGATCATTAACACTGAAAGCTGCCAGTTGGAGAAGTTGGCATGCTGTACATGTCTGCAAATTACATTTACTGGAAGCGGAGCAGCGGACCCGTGTGGACTGAGACGTGTTTAACTGATTCAAATTGTGGTTTATTTGTTCTCAGGAAGTTAAAAAGGCCATAATCACAGATATGACCAAACTAGGAAGAGAAGCAGGTCTGAAGTCATTTGAGCAGGTAAAGGATTTTTGTCCTAGCAGATTCTACGTTTAAGCCGTCACCGGTCTCAAGAATTTGTCATACTCCATAAAGCCGAAAAGTCTCCAACTGCTTTAGTTTTGAAACTCATCTGGTTATTCAAAGGAGCTTAATCGTATTTACCTTTCTCTTTCTTCTCCACTGCAGGTGAAAGACGTGCATCTCCACCCGGAGCTCTTCACCATCGAGAACGGCCTGCTGACTCCCACCTTGAAGGCGAAGAGGGCTGAGCTCAAAGAGCTGTTCCAGCCACAGATTGACAAACTTTATGCTGACATCCAATAAATTAACCCTCAAACAGAAAATGGTCTTTGTGTTTTACAGCAACATTCCATTCAGTCACCAATGAATAGCACCAGAAAAAGTAGATCAAACCTTAAGGCAATTTGCAAAACGGATTCTGATTACCTACATGGCTATTTAATTTCATACAGTTTTAAATGCAGGGGAATTCCAGCTTGGTCTTCTTGTTGGTAAAATGTTTGAATCACTTTTTTTTTTTTTTTTTTTTTTTTTTTTTTTTTTTTTTTTTTTGTACTCTGGCTCAAAACATGTTTTTGCTGTACCTCATTTTTTTTAAAGGTGAACTTCAAATGTCTGGATTTTATATGGAGCCTTGTGAAGGGTTTAAAATCTCATTCAAATGCCAACGTTTGTGTTACAAAACATTTTTAAGCCAGCACTGCCCTCATGTGTTGAAATTCAAACACTGTATAAATTCACTCTCGGCATGGGAGTAAATGTGGCGGCATCAGAAAATTTTTAGAATCGCCTCAGGGGGGCTCTGGACATGTCCTCATAATCAAATCTGGAGAACTTGTCTTGTTTGGAGAATCCTACCAAAGACTCCTGAAACTAAAGCCAAATATGTTTCAACAAAGTAGCACAGGGGTGTGGACACTTTTACAGTTAAACTATTGCAATTTTATATTTACGTTTGACATTTGGACTTTAGAACAGTTTACATTCATACTTTGCTTTCAACATTCAGCATTTATTAGTTCAATTCAATCATAAGCACTCATTTTGACACCTCCATGTATTGGAAGCCAAGTCCCACACTTCAGATTAATTAAAGGTAGGCTGAGTGAAATAAATTTATCCCCCTGTATTTGTGTACCCTTTTCAGATGCATTTTTTCCCTTCAACTCAACTTTCAGTCAGTGGGTACATCATACAGATGGCTCAAAAGGTGAACTACAAATATGATCAAATCTTAATCTAGTTCAACCAAGAAATTCTCAGAACTTGGTGTTGGAAAAAGTACCTAAATGAATGAGCCTAAAATTACCACCACCCTACCAAGCTTAGCTTTTCTTAGGTTATGGTTGAAATAAAGTCCTGGTTTGTGAAATGAAAAGACACTTATGATTAATGTAAATGTGGAAAACAAATATACAACACATTTTTCATTAAACGGCTAAATTATGTATCCAACATTAAACCTTTATGTTGATGGGTCTATTTCATTCAGGCTTTTTTTTGCACTAATCAACTAATTAGCCCTCTATATGTAATTTAACTTTTGAAAACGTGCAGTCCTAAAATGCCTATTTTAGCCTACATGTCATTTGACTCGATGAGGCAAGCAACACCGCCCCCCAGCGGCTGTTTTCCACTAAGTTTCTGCTACAGTCGGTCCTCCAGGCAGCGGCAGCAGCAGTACACTCCCCCCTCCGCCCCGGTTTCACCTGGAGTTTACACGGGCACAGAACTCCGCTGTCCCTGGAATACTTTTCCCAACTCTGAAGGCTCCAATCCACCACTTATTCCCCAGAGCCGGTCTTCCTCAGATGTTTGACCCTCGTATGCGTTTCCACTGCGGATATTTTAGTGTGTTTGGATCTCCCGTGGATCAAACTCACCTGAGAGCAGCTACACAGCACGCGTCTTCTTCAATATGGCTTCTTCCGCCACAGGTGACCACGAAGAGCAGGTAAGGGAGCTGGAGAAAGTTTCAGTGCCAGTGTAAGCGCCAACTTTCTCTCTCAGTGGGGTTTGGTGGCGTTGTTTTGTTGTGTTGGCAGCCGCGATAACACCAATTCCGTTTGAAAGCGCAATGTAAAGAGTAGTGGTGAGCTGACTAATCAATTTAAAGTGCGACTTTTAACTGTCAAAATTAGCAACAAGCTCTGTGTTGAGACTTTCTGTGTTATTTCTCTGACAGTTGACTTAGCGTTCACCCTCTTGCATATAACTGAGATTACACTGAAAACCCCCATGGTGATCAGATCTCATATGCCACACATGCAGGTGGATTTCGGTAAATTAGAAAGTGACCAAAAAGTAGGCTACGCAAGTAATTCTGGTAGAAAATTCTTACACAAAAATTTATATTTTATGTTTTTTTTTTGTCAGTTAATATTGGTAATTATGACATTTCTGTTACATCAGTGGAAAGTGAAGTGAAGGGGAGAAATTTTTGCAAGAAACAACTGTTGCCTTGGAGCACTTAGATCTAATGCACATTGCAAAAAACAAAAAAAAAAAAAATAGCCCTTTTGAAAGGTGAATATCTGAGCCCGTCTCTTCTTCCCGTTTTAATTTAACATCTTCTCCTTGCTGCTGCTTATTTGTGGCGGCAAATTTTAAGCTCAAAAGGAAAGGACGCAGACAGGTCAACCTACCCCCATCTGAAACACACATGCCCAGTTTGGAGATTAAACTCATAGTACCTGCTTGTTCACAGCCACTGGATTAGAGCCAAACCCTAATAAACCTTTCCCCTGAGGGGGGGTGGCTTGAGGAAAAAAAAAAAAAAAAAAAAGGAGACAGACATATATGTGTTATCTTAATTAGTGGTATAAGACTTAAAAGTGCTGTAGTATTTTAATTTATTGTAGTTTTTTTTCTTCCAGATAACTTAATAAAGAGAACATTTATTAACTCAATGACTGCCAAAGGTTTGCAGTTTTATAATAGTAACAGCTTACAGCACAGATCAATTGATACATGTACATAAATGAATGGGGATATTAGAGACCATACACTGTACAACCTAAACTTTGGTAGTTTTAATGTTTTCTTGTCAGATGCATGTGATTTTAGAAAAAAAAAAAAACATAGTTTGTATGGTTACATGATTTGAAACAAAGGCTTTTATCAAGATCACTTATTAATTCCAAGATGAAACTCTACATGCTGCTACTAAGGCCTTTTTTTCTTATCCGTTACTGTAGTTGCATCCTAGATCCCTGTCTAGGCTTGCCACTGTTTTCACAAGAGCTGATAGAGATTAGATCATTTGCAGCTGGATGTGACTAAATCCACCCCTTATTTGTTGTTTTCTACCATTGTGGATTTAGCTGTTGCCACTGATGTGAGAGAACACAGCCAAATGAAAACGAAGTGCCTAGAGTCGCAAGAGTGTTCATACATGTTGAATTGCTTTTCAGATTTTGGCACGTTACTATCGCCACACGCTAGAGAGGTAGCAAAAAGAAAGTGATCATTGAAGGAACGACTCCATGTTGGAGACACAATAAACCTCTAGAGAAAAGTTTACTATGTCATGATGTTTTCATGATGTTTCATGACGATATCATGGAACTTGACCTACATAGAAAATGCAGTGTTTGGAGGAAGACTAAATATTCCAGCATTATACTGTGGGCATATGTTTCAGAAGATGCAAGGATGCTTGGTCAGAGTTAGTGAGAAGACAAATTAAGCTAAATACAGGAAAATGCTGGAAGAAAACCTGCAAAAACCACAATTCTTGGGCAGAAATTCAGTATCTGATTTAGAATCGGTGTCGAGATTCAAAAACTGATGTTCACAGACGCCCCATCATATCTGACTGAGCTTGAGGTGTTTTACAAAGAAAATCTGGAGAACTTCAGTCTCTAGGTATGTGCTGGTAGAAAAAAAAATTATACAAGTTGTATGAATTTTATGAATTCATACAACTTGAATTCATACAAGGATTCAGTTCACCCTTTTTGATTTGGGTGAACTGAACGATGATGGAAAAACTTTAATCTGTAAGTAGTAGTTGCCTAAATTTAGCAAGATGAAACCAAACCTATTTGTGTAACTCATGACCTTAAATCCTCTTGAATGAAGCCGTAGGCATCAACCTTGACCCACCAGAGCTTTATAGCAGGCAGCCTTCAAAATGCTCTTATCATGATAATTACAAACATTTCACAAGCAGTCTGAGGATACCGCATTCCTGTCTTCAAGGTGTTGACTTTGTGTGTTTCTTTGCTTTGTTTTTTTTTTTTTTTTTTTTGGCATAACTTGAATCATTTACAGTTTTGGTTAATCGTTACTCTTATGGCTGATTTCTCTCGTGTATTCCTTCCTGCCCATTAGTTTAGTGCTGGACTTGACACGTTTGTAAGGGGGACATCATATTTTACACCCATTTAAAACTCTGTCATGAACTCTGTGTTGATGTTTGTGTATGTATCGGTTTGCCAGCAGGCGCACAAGAACATGATTGACTGCATTGTCTTTTCTAACCAGGAAAAGATTTTTTTCACCTCTGGGGATTGCTATCATAAATTTCAAGATGTTATGATAGCACGCAAAGTATTCAAACTGGGACAGCGGGCATTGTGACATAATGATCTTGGTAAGGAATTTTTACATAAACTAGAGGCCTCCTTGTTCCCAGCCTGCTTCTTCAGCCATTTTGCCTTCATAACTTGAAACCAAAACATGCGTCCTTTAGCTAATATTTTGACGTCAACATTGCTTCTTTTGAAGGCTGAAATAGCAATTTGAACTTGTGCAATCCTCATTCACACAGTTGCCTGTCCTGTGTTTGTTCATCTATCTATCTGCGGTTCCTTCTGGCTTAATGGTTGACCACAGATTGTAGTGGGAAATGGAAAGCCGTTCACTTCCAAAGTACTGGTGTCTATTGCCAAGACGCCGTGCTGGAGGTTTATTGTGGAGGAGCAAACAATGAGTGCGAGTCTCCACCTATGTCCTGGTGAAAAGCTAATGGTCACCACAATGACCTCTGTGTGTGTACAGGGTGGTCTGATGGGATCAAAAGGAGAAGTGCTGCGTTGTGGGAATGTATTGGATTTTATGGGATGCCATGATGCACGCGCCTCACGGTTCAGTTTTATGGGCCAGCTCTGTGTTGGAGCCAAGCCTTTATCAACAAGGTTTTTTTTTTATGTTTCAACAATAATTGTTCACAACTGAGGAAAATGAGCATGACTGTAGAACAAAGTGGTGGGTTGTGGAGTTGATCATTTTTTAAATTTTTAAATAACTTATTTTGATTAGACCACAGTTGGCGTAAGCTCAGTTTGGAGAATCACAGAGGAATTCTCAAGTTTTTGGC